ACGGAGGAAAGAGTATTTAATGACTTCAGGGTCTCTGCAAAACACAGGCCCCGTGGGCACTAAGAGGAAAATATCTATTACAAAACAGCACGCGCCAGACGGTCTGCATGCTTGCCGTGAGGCCCGTCATCTGCTTATTCGTTCATTCGTTTTCAGAAGAAAAGGAGTAATGAGAAAGGAAGATTGGATTCAAGTGGTGCAAAACCATGTCAGATGCTACAAGCGAACATTGTTCATGGGATTGTGTGAGATAGAAGATATCTGATTTTCATAAATGCACATATTTTGCAAATTTTTAATTTACTGTCTCACACTCTGAACCCGTTTGTATCAGCAACCCGCAGGATGATATTTAATGAGTCCCAGGTCCAAATGGCCCACTGATGTGTCCTCTCACACTCCCCAAAGTGCGTTCATTGCCACAGGCACAACTTTGCTCTTCAATTTCCCATCTCCTTGAGGCAAACAGTAGGGGTCAAATATAAAACAGACCTGAGGAGAGTCGAGTGAATCTCCAAACTGTGGAGAACGTGGCCTGGAAGAAACTCTCTTTTCTTTTGCTTAAAGCAAAATATCCCACGGTTCTGCGGTCCTGCATCCGGCGGTTCCTAATCTTGAGTTTAAAACAGGTGAACTCGGAGGTATGCGACTCTAGGTCACAGTCAAGAGGGACGGGAAAGGTCTCGCGTCTGTGCAAAACGTCACAACAGTAAGAATGAGCCCCCGGAATGGCGGGCGTAAAAAGTCAGCGTAGATCACCAGCCAACGCGGGAGGGAGATTGGACTCAGACACAGCAGAGGTGACTGTGGTTGTAGAAAATGGGGATGGCGCCATGTTCTTAGGAAAAACCGATAGTAAGTCACCGAAAACAACCATCCTTGGCAGCTGATGGTTGCGGACAATGATAGACGTAAAGAAGGAATGGACCCTGCCTGTCAGCCCAGGGAGACCCATTTCACCCCTTGGACCTCTAGAACACAAAGGTAGTTGTGCTCTGTGGGCTACTCCGTGTGTGGTATTTGTTACAGCAGCAATAGGAAACTAATACGAATGTACACATGAATCGATGCACGGAGGGATCCCGGCGTTTGTAGAGCTGACGGCCAAGGGCGCCTGCAAACACGGCTGGCACCCCCCGCTCACCAGGGTTGCTGTGAATGTGTGTTCTGCACGTGTGCGCCGTTTCTCCATGCCGCACCGACATCCGGCTGGCCACTCGCGTCTAACCTTCTGCATTTATTGACTGCACAAAGTAACTGAGTCAGGGGGGAGAAGGAGCTGCTTTGGCAGCGGGTTTTTTTTTTTTTTTTGACATTTTATTAAACTGTTTTTGGCTTTTCCACCTGCACGCATTCCTGGCCCGTGACACAGCTAGAGAATGCTGTCTTCATATTAACAGAATTTCCTCTAAGCCCGGCTCCAAACCACACGTGGGCCACTTTCCGGGAAACAAGAACCATCCAGTCGACACGCTCCTGGGAAAGCCAACAGCCATCCCTGTGTGCGGTGGGCTTCACGGACACCTTTTATTAATTTAAAGGAGGTGCCTGAAACATTTTGGGAACACGACGGTGGGCCACTGTCCAGGGAGAGTGCCCCGTAGGATGTGCTGGGTGCGCTGGGATAGAAAACTCCAGTATTCAGAGAAGTTCTTTCAACACGACAGAGAGGACTTGCGTGCCTCACCTCTTGGCTTAAACTGGGTCTTGCTAGTCCTAAGGAAACTGAATGCACACTCGTGCACACACGCGTACACAGAGAACCGGTAGCGGGGTCAGCGCAGGACGTAGCCGGATCCCAACGGAGAGACTTTATACAAACAGGAATGTGCTCCAGCCTCCGCTCCACCTCGGAGCAGGGCACCCCACCAGCTGCATCCCCAAGAACCACTCTAACGCACAACCAGCCCGGAGAGAAACCGAGTGCAGTGGAGGCAGCTACTGGGATCCTACACCTGTGACGCATCATGGCCCGGCAAGTGCTGGACTATCTGGCCACACTCGCCTCTGCCTCGGCCCGTTCAGCTGAGGACTGGCCCTGATGCTCGACATCTGGCCTTTGACCTGACACAGGCTGCATAAACGTTAGTATAGGTGCCACTTAATCCTACCCGGCAATTTACCCTTGGAATTGATTCCTATATAATGGCATCTCTGAGCCTATTTACAAAAGGTGAGCTGGTGCTTCCCTAAGCATCCATTCAGGTTAAACCCCCAGGCACAGAAATGGACGTTCTTAAGTTTTTGATCATATTGCAAAGGTTTAAAAATAATTTGTTCACTGAAAAAAAAAAAACTCTTGAAACCGTTGAAATCTCTTTTAGAACTCGTTTTCCAAATCAACGGGCCCTTTTCTTCTTTCTTTGTTGTTACCAGCCTCTGTACCCGGGGGCCCTGTGCCACGTCCCCAGCCCGTTTTATGTTTTACTTGGACGGGTTCTTGCTAAGTTGCTTAGGAACTTGCTAAGTCGCCGAGAGGCTGGCTTTTGAACTCAAGATCCTCCTGTCTTAGCCTCCGGAGCCGCTGGGACCCCAGGTGTGCACCCCGGCACCTGGCCGGGCGCATTTCTTGAGTTAATACTACAATGTCACAGGGAAGGAAAAGTCATTGCTAAAAACACGACTCCAGCTTGCATCTTCCCATTCGGGCTCATCTTCTCCATAGATCTAATGATTTTCTTGTTTCGGGAGCAGCGTTCTCCACCGGGTGACACAGCACCCTTCGTACAAGTTCACGCGGAGGCTGCTCATTTAATTGGGGTGACTTGCTGTCACCATTTGCATAGCTCCCCGTGATTCACAGGTTCACACACCCGATTAGCTCTTGGCCTTCCCCGTGCACTTTAATTACAGGACGTTTAAAGAGAGCACTCCATAGGACCGGAAACAGCAACAGAATCATCTTGCTTATTTTCCCTCCTGTATCCCTCACGCTGAGAATTAGAATTTTGCACAGAGAAGTAGTAAAAAAATATCTCCTGCAGCATAGCTCAGGATTATAGCACTTGACTTTACCTGCCCAGAGCCCTGTGTAACAGCTCCACACACCTCCAAAAAATAGAAATATATAATGAAACATATAAATATAAAGTATGTGTAAAATATAGAACGTGTATATATGTACAGGATTACGAAAGGAATCGATGCGCTCACCGGCCCACCCCTCTGCATATGTGCGAGACGGAGAGGAGAGAAATAGCACAAACAAACCTCAACGGAATAGTACTGAGCACTTAAAAGGGAATAAGATCATGGCATCTGCAGATAAGTGGATGGAGTCGGAGGACACCATGCTAAGCAGAGTAAGCCGATCCCCCCCACACCAAACGCTGAATGTTCTCTCTGATAAGTGGATGCTGATCCATAACAGGGGGCATGGGGAAAATGGAGGAAATTGATTGGGCAAATGGGAGGCAGGAGGGGAGGGGCATGGGGGCAGGAAAGATGGTGGAATGAGATGGACATCATTCCCCTGGGCACATGTGTGACTGCACACAGGGCGCCACACTGTGTACAACCAGAGAAATGAAAGTCGGGCTGCAATTGTGTACCGTGAATCAAGTGCATTCTGCTGAATACCTAATTAGAATAAATAAATAAACTTTTAAAAACCAATAATCTGTCTGTGGCCAGCCTCCTGACCTCCTCCCATCCCAATGACGGCCCCAAGAGCCCACTTCTCACCATGCTGCGCTGTCTCAACGGGACAGAGGAAGGAGCTATCCACGTTTAAACTATGGCACGGACAGGAGAACTGCTAGATTGATCCGGAAACGACAACCTCAGATTTTGAGTCAATCAAATTTGAAGATCAGGTTTTAAGTCAATCAAAGCAAAGTTAAGGCAGCATTTTAGACCCAGTAAACCAGCCGAGCGTTTTTTACAAGAAATGCACTTGAGCAGATGACGGATGAGGGAACCATCCCGCTGGAAAGCATCATTTCAAACCGTAAAGGAATCAGTCGGTATCGTTAACTGAGCACCTACTGCATTTGGCCGCTGGAAAAAAATGATTTATTTCTGAACTGTCCTAATACTGTTCTTGAAGACAGGTGAGTATGTATCCATTTCAATGACAAGGAAATGGACCGTTTAAAAGTTTTTACAAAGTAATCAGCTCCGGTAGGGAGACCACAGAGACAGAGCAAAGTCTCTGCACAGCAGCAGCTTCCCTGTCCTGGTCCATATTCGGTTCATGTTTTAGAAACGTTTATTACTATAAGGTGCTTCTTAAACTTTCATTAAAAGGAAATTTCCTTAGCAAGTCAAAAGCTATGTGCATAGGAATATTTACGCCGGTAAAAATTATGAGGTGCCCAGGAAAAGGATTAGCAGTTCCGATCGGGGTATGTTGATAGAAAGACAACACTTAGTTTATAATTTCTGTTTATTAATCATACATATGCGTATATCACATTCGTGAAATGTTACATATGTATGTAGATTATATGAAGCCTAACTCCTGCGTATTTTTTTTTTTTTTTTGGTACTGATTGAACTCAGACACTACTGAGCCCCGTCCCCAGCCCTATTTTGTATTTTATTTAGAGACAGCGTCTCCCTGAGCTGCTTAGGGCCTCGCTAAGTTGCTGAGGCTGGCTTTGAACTCACGATCCTCCTGCCTCAGCCTCCTGAGCCACTGAGACGGCAGGTGTGCACCACTGCGCCCGGCCGTAATATTTAAGAGTCGTTTAAAAAAGTGATTTTAGGGTATCTCCAAACTTTTAAATATTCTTGTCGTTTTTGACGTTGAAAATTCTTACCGTGAATTCTACTGAGTTCAACTTGAACTTAATGAAAAATCTTCACTGCATCCAGCTCACAGGTGGTTAAAAACAGAACCCTTGAGTCTGCCGCCTTACAAACGGGAAACGAATAGGTGAAGGTCACTCGCGTCCCTTTCTCCCACCCAAGCGAGCCTGGAGAAGTGACCTTCTGCGATGAACCACCTTGGGTTCACGGATACCTGCTGCTCCTCCTCGGAGTCCAGGGGTCCTTACCTGGAAAAGGATGCCCTTGGAGGGAAGAGCCTTGTAAAATTGCCTGCGGCGGTGGAAACAGCTTACGGATCTACGAGTCCTAGGGAGAAAACAGAAGGCAGAAATTAAATTCACTGGCAGAGCCTATGCACAATGATAGCACAGCAGTTTGGGAGCAAGCATGGAGCTCACAAAAAGAAAAAATACCGAAACTAGAACAGTTGAGCTAAGGCTAAATCACGGCTGTGTGTAGATTTTGGGGGGCGGCCGTGTGAGCTAGCCAGGGTGGCAATTTCTTCAGTGCACACAGCAGGTTAAATCCGGGGTCAGGATGAAGTCCCCAGGGGCCAGCACAGCCCTAAGGGGAGGACGACATCATGTCCCTTAAGTGGCCGTCGGGATGCAATGAGACAGGAAGGTGGACGAGGTGCCCAGGGCCCAGCATCTGTTTCCAGGATCTCCACCGATGTTTGGGAAGGGCTGTGGGATTCCCCACCGTGTCCCCGCGAGCTCCCGTGGAGATGATTGACGGACCGGGAGAGGCTGCACCCGGAGCCTCGGTGTGCAGTCTGCTTCGGAGTCGAAGAGCACAAGGCTCAGCAGCATCGCGGGTCGTGAGGGAGACCCCTCAGCTCTTGGGGGCGTCCACGGGCGAGAAGCTCCCTGCCTGCCGCTTAGCAGAGGCCCAAACAGGAGCGTCATTGTTATTTTCACTGCCCGAGAACTGATAAAGCAAGACTTCGCCAGAACAGAGATTCTGTTGCCTTTTGCAACTTTGGTTCAGGCACAGGAAAGGGACGGGGAATGGCAGTTACTGGTGCCCCAGTGGTTGAACTGAGTACCCACATTATTCAAAGTAGCTTTGGTCTCAAAGGTTAATATTCAATTTATTATGGTTAGAAATTAAAAAAAAAGTCCCCATGTGCCTTTGGCAAACTTGCATATTTAACCCGGGTCATATGTGTGATTTTAAATAGGAAGCTAGTTGATATGTCAACTACCTTCAAAGAATATTTTCCATTATGTTGGGATCAACAAATGTAATTACTTAGCCATCAGCTGTATGTTTGAAGCTTCCCTCGCAAATTTAAGATATTAAATGTATCGCCATTTTCGGATTCCAGAGATACTTTCTCAGTCACTTAAGTCGTTCCTGTGAATTTAATCAGTGCTGCACACATGGACATGTCATGTCTTCTCGTCCTCTCTCTTCACCTTAATCCTCGTGTCCTACCTGACTTTTATTTATCTATTTTGGGGGGTACCAGGGATTGAACTTAGGGTCACTCGACCACTGAGCCCCATCCCCAGCCCTGATTTGTGTTTTATTTAGAGACAGGGTCTCCCTGAGTTGCTCATGGCCTCGCCATGGCTGAGGCTGGCTTTGAACTCGAGATCCTCCTGCCTCAGCCTCCCGAGCCGCTGGGATGACAGGCGTGCGCCACTGCGCCCACTTTACCCGACTTTGTAGTGATGACGTCCCTGGTGCTTCACTGTTTGCATCTCTGAGAACCACAACACAGCCCCTTAGGTAACAATGTTTCACTTCTACCTTGTTTAACCTCCATATAAAAGTTCTGGCACTGACTCCTTTGCTACAATTCTCTTTTGTGCCCATTATGAGGTTGGTAAAGTGCATCCACGCCCAGTGTGCCTTTGGGGTGTTCTCGTCTACTGCTCTCTAATTTCCCACTGCCCAGTACAGGACAACAGGGCGGTTGGCAGCGACATTTTCAAACACCACAAAAAGAGAGTGGTTGGGCGGGGAGTGGGGCTCAGTGGTGGAGTGCTTGCCTCCCACATGTGAGGCTCTGGGTTCAATTCTAGCACCTCATAAAATAATTAAAATAAGGGTATTGTGTTTCTCTACAACTAAAAAAAATATTTTTTAAAAAAGAGAGAGAGAGAGAGAGAGAGAGAAAGCTGGGTATGGTCATGCACGCCTGTCATCCCAGTGGCTCGGGAGGCTGAGGCGGGAGGATCGCAAGTTCAAAGCCAGCCTCAGCCAAAGGGAGGCCCTAAGCAACTCAGGGAGACCCTGTCTTTAAATAAAATACAAAATAGGGCTGGGGAGGGGGCTCCGTGGTTGAGTGCCCCTGAGTTCAATCCCTGGTACCAAAGAGAGAGAGAGAGAGAGAGAGAGAGAGAGAGAGAGAGAGAGAGAGAGAGAGGTCCACAACCTGCAAGCCGGTGTTCAGGTTGCCCATGAGCTTAGTATGCAAGTCAAGTGCACGATGTTCCTGCAAACAGGGGACCTCCTGGGATAGATGTAGTTAATCTACATGCCGCACCATTCTCTTCCAAATACCTTTATATATTCTGCCATCTGTTACAGCCACCGCTTATATAGATACTTACAGGACAGCTCGTAGGCGTCCGTGCGTTGCAAGACCATGCCTGACGCTAAAATCCCAGCTTCTCTGCCTCATTTGAGTGGCTACGACCCTTTCCAGCATTCTGAAAAGTCACGGCAGAATCTTGGGTTTGTGTCATGGCCTAGATGTAAATTTCTTTCTCAGTGATTGGATTCCATCTCGTCCGAAGACTAAAATAACAGGAAATAACTCAGAGACCAAGGAACGAATTTATAACAGGGCGGGGCGGGACTTACATAAGTTTCACATAAATAGCTCCAAGGGGAGAGTGTGATTTTTTTAAATAGCTTCAATTATATTTGAAAACCAAAGGGACGTTATATGGGAGGAGTATCAAATGGAGACAAGGAATGGTCCTTTGACTCCAAACCCACCTCTTCCCTTCCGTTCCGATCCCCTTCCCCTCTTCTTTTAAACTCTGTTGTTCTTGGTTGTTCTTATCCAGCTCATCATCCTTATTTTTTGGGGGGTAATGGAAATTAAACTCAGAGCCTTCCTGGCTCATGCTTGGCAACCACTCTGTCACCGAGCTGCACCCCAGACACCCAGTGACTGACGACGTTACCTCCACCTTGGCATCTCCAGGAGGCTGCCGTGAGAATTTTGGCCATCCCTCACTCTGTCCACCAACATCCAGGGAGGACACGGTGTTTCGGGAAGCCTGTTCAACACTGTGACCCAAAGACCTGACCGTTTTAGAGGAGGGAAAGATTATGGTAAAAGCTCATGGGTTCGGAGCACTCGGTCCACAGATGCTGACTCCATTACTCTGTGCCCAAGGTGGGGCAGGACAGCATGGCGGGAGAGTATGGCGGAGGAAAGCCACTCACAACATGGCCATCGGGAAGCAGAGAGAGTCCTGTCACCACAGACAAAATACATATCTCCATGGCACATCCCCAATGACCCATCTCCTCCAGCCACACCCTGCCTGCCGATAGCTATTACCCAGTTAATCCATTCAAGTGGATTAATCCACTGATTAGGCTAAGTGTCTCGTGACCCAATCGTTTCAACTCTAAACTTTCTTGCATTGTCTCACACTTGAGCTTTGGGGGATGCCCTCATTTCTAAACTACAACACCTGGTATGTGTCTGTCGTTAACCTAAGAAAAGTATGTGTCACGTTGGTGACGGAGACGTACAAAGTTGTATTTTTTTAAAAAAATGAAAAATGATTGCAAACATTGAATTGATTCCTAGATTTTCAGACAGGAACGAGCTCAAGGTAGACATCTCTGATTTGCAGATCTTGCCTGTAAGACCATCCCCAACCACCCTTCGCTGCACACCTTTATGTGCGGATTAACTCTACTTCTCAATCTCCTTCTTATCTCCGACGACAGTAGCTCCTCTTATTTTCCTCTTGAGCGTCTCGATTCTCAGTGGGGGTTTCAACCCACTTGTTGACAAAGGACGGAATTTCCAAATTATCCATCACCCCATCACTTGAGTCTGAGTGTTCCTGAACTTTTAAATATGTTACTACCGGTGTTGGATCGGATTCAACGTTGGTGTCGTTCATTTTCTGACATTCATGCCTGAAATACAAAGCCACGCACTCTTCTTGAAATGCCGATGACTCACGCATTGGAATGCAGATTTATTCTCTAGCTTTTTAGATGTGATTGTACAGGACTTTGGAGATTGACCCAACAGATTGATGGAGTTTTATTGGGATGGAACTACAATCTGGATAATTAGTGTCTACCTACACAAACAGACTTATTTAAAAGGGTGGCACTTTGCTTAGTTATTTCTGTTTATTTTTAATGATGATCTTGCTTGAGTAGAAAAGGTAGGAATTTTGTTTGCTATTTACTGCACACACCAGAGGGCAAGCATGTGTTTGGCACTTTTTTTTTTAGTTATTTCTTGATTTCTTTATGGAAATATACCATGTTATGTAAGGAAACAACTGGCATGCTTTGTTAAAATAATTTTCGTTTCTTATATAACATCAAACGAACACATTTATTTCTTATGAATATTTCTCCTGAATTTCTTAAAAATAGGTCCGTTACTTCTCATGCAGTGAATCGTAGCTAGCCCGGCGGCGGGAGGAGACAAGTCCGGCTTCAGAGGAGACAAAGTAAGAGAACGGGTGGTTTCCCGTATTTCAGAAAATGCAAAAAAAAAAACTCTGGGGGAAACAGATGTGTTCCGTTGGTCAAAAATGCACAGGACGTCTAGGTAAACAGACAGGCCGTATCTTCCAAAGGGACCACAGTTTGACCGTTTCTAAGTCACCCTGTGTGCACAATCTGCATGTCATGGGAGGTGACGGGGGTCACGGTGGCATTGACTGACACCATGGCTGGACCAGCTGCCGTGTTACTTCTTCACAAGAATTCCTCAGGAAGGCTCTGAACACCTCTGGAAATAAGGCGTAAAGCTTAGTGATCATCCGTCTGTCCATCTCTATTACCTATCATCTCGCTCTCCTTCTCTTGTGTTATCTCTATCATCTATCCACCCATACACCTCGCTGGCCTCTCTTATCCATCCACCCATCCATCTGCCTGTCTACCGTCCATCTGCCTGTCTGTCTTCCTGCCTAGCTCCATGCACGTTCTTGTGGCATGGTCTCCTGCAGACCGGCAGCAAAGTGCACCACCTCCGGCAGAGAGCCAGGCCAGACAAGCCGGGCCCCCATGTTTGCCTTATGTACACGGATTCTCCATCCGTGCCCTGGAATCCGTGGAATAAGAGTCACCCAGATGAAAACACAAACTCACCACCCCAAATCCTGAATGTAGACCCGGGTGGGGTGACAGATGCTAAAGCTCCTAAAAGAATCCAGGGTCTCAGACAAGTCACAAAGCAAGAGGCAGGAGACTCGATAGTGGATGATCGCAGGAACCTAACGGCTGTCACCAGCAGCACGGTGTGTGGCCTGGTTATCATGAACGCCCAAACAGCAGGCAATGGCCATCCAATTACCAGTGCTCCTGCACGGTGCGTCTCTCCGTGGGATCCATCACCAACACCATCCTCCGTGCCTTCTGCTGATTCTCCAAAATGGTAGCCCTTCTGCCCGCACGGACAAAAAGGGATTTAATCCTCCTTTTCTTCTGTGCGTTACAGAATGCCAGCTTACCCACAGGGTTCCTTTAATGCAATCCATCTTCCCATGGGTTCAGAAAAACCTCTCTGCTGCACAAGAAATTTTGTGAAATGAATACATCTCTGTGAAACAAATGGATGCGCTTGAAGGCACGCTCAGCGACTTTACCCCTCCACGCTACAGAGTTCTGTTTTCCTTATAGAAAAACGAAGCTACCCACTTCAATCTAATGTATGAAATATGATATGTCAAGAGCTTTGTAATGTTGTGAACAACCAATAAAAA